TTTGCCCTGTCAGATTTTCTCTATTTATAGACAAAAATTGGATTTTGCTCCTATGTTTTATTTTTAGCTATGTCGACCATCTTGGTTGGCAGGCCGGGTCATCGAACACATTTTTTAAACTAGATACCCCAATGATGATTTTGGCAGAGTTTGGTTAAATTTGGTCCAGTAGTTTCAGAGGAGAAGATTTTTGTAAATGTTAACGGACGATGATGGCGCCGGACGCCAAGTGATGAGAAAAGCTCACTTGGCACTTTGGGCCAGGTGAGGTGAGCTTAAAAGACACCATGTAAACTTTGCAAATTTCAATCTACCACGATTGAGGGAATGTGGTTAAATAGAAATTATCTGATGCATACACTACACTCATCCCAAACATCACTGACTTATCATAAGTGACTGCTGTTCTAACAATCTTGTCACGAACTTTAAGAATTGACTATACCACTATCATTTTTGGAACAGCTATAGCTAGGTCTCCAAGTCCACAACAAAGATGAGATATCAACTGATTAAGAGTCTAAAACAACTCCAGATATCAACTGATTAAGAGTCTAAAACAACTCCAGATATCAACTGATTAAGAGTCTAAAACAACTCCAGATATCAACTGATTAAGAGTCTAAAACAACTCCAGATATCAACTGATTAAGAGTCTAAACCAACTCCAGATTCAACTGATGAAGAGTCTAAAACAATCAAGATAGATCTCAGATCTCAGATATCTGTAAATATTTGTTGTCTCTAGAATGTGGAAATCTTGAATTGTTAATGAATGTCCATGAGCCTCATGTGGTAAAGTGGTTGTCATTGTTTGTTGTGTGTAGAATGTGGAAATCTTGAATTGTTTATGAATGTCCATGAGCCTCATGTGGTTGTCATTGTTTGTTGTGTGTAGAATGTGGAAATCTTGAATTTGGCTTATGAATGTCCATGAGCCTTATGTGATAAAGTGGTTGTCATTGTTTGTTGTGTCATAGTTGTTTTTTGTTTTATGTTACATGTAGAAACCGAAATAAGACTTTAAAGGGGCATTAGCTGTCAAATTCATGTTCACGGATCATCGTTTTTATCTGTATAAAATGATTTTTTTGTGGATCGAATCAGTCAATCAAATGTTTCATCCTTGTTTCACTTGCAGTGTTGACATTCTTTTCCTTTTAATAGCTGAATACATGTGTAACCCATCTCCAGCTAAGGGGTTAAATTGAAGGTCACATGAATACAGATTCATTGAGGTCGAATTATTCACTTGCAAGAGAATAATTCATCAGCAATGTTTCAAAGCTTATTTTGACGAAATTGAACCAAACTGGCTGCTTAAAGCAAATTATTATTTCACTATTTCACTTTCATTAATGATTTAACAAAAGAAATAATACTTTAATTTTTTTTTATATCTCGTAGCTAATACCCCTTTAAGTTTTCTTCATTGAAATGTTTCACATTCCAATTTCTTTTAAAAATTCGTAAGGGGTTCTACAAAAGCCTGTGTCTTGCCTGTGATTGCTGCTGTCAGTGTAAAAGTGTAATGTTGACTTAAAAAGTGAGTCCAATTATCAGTAAAATACAGAATTTAAAAAAAAAATCAATTAAATTTAGATGCTTTTTCTTGGTCTCGAGGATTATCTTCTGTCCAAATTTCATAACAATCCTTGAAGGTTTACAAATTCATCATGTCAAAAAAAAATTAATCCCAGACTGTCTGTAAATGTTAACTGTAAAAAACTAAGTCCATCTATCAAAAGAGTACTGAAAATGAAAAAAATATATTTTGAAAAGTTTTCTTCAGACATTATCTCTTAATCATAAAAGCTTCTGCCAAAGTATCATAAAATTATATGAAGGTTTGACAAAGTAAATATTAAAGAGTAACAAACCCCAGACTGCATCTACTTGTTAACTGTAAAAAAAAACTAAGTCCATTTATCAGTCAAATAAGGAAAAATAAAAATAAATATTTTCAAAATTTTACTCTGAATATTGTATTTTGGGCATAACTAAGCTTCTCTCCAAATTTCATAAAACTCCATGAAGGTTTGACAAAGTTATTGATGACTTCAAAACTTTAACCTCAGACTGAGCCTGATTGTTAACCGTAAAAAAACTAAAGTCAATTTATCAGTAAAATACAAAAAAAATGAAAATAAATATTTTTCAAATTTTACTCTGGATACTGTCTTTTGGTCATAAACAAGCTTCCGCCCAAATTTCATAAAATTCCATGATGGTTTGACAAAGTTATTGATGACTGAATGTTACAGGCTCGACAAAAATGAAACAATTTTGTAGCAGAATTATTGACAATATAATGCTTCCTACAAATATCGGCAAAGTCAATACATTCGAACAAAACATGTTCAAAAGTATACTTGTAATCACATTGTATACATTGTGGCTGAACTTCATTTTTTAGAAGATACTCATGTGTTATTCTAGTATGATGGATACGGTATCTAGACACTGATCTTTTCTGCATATAAAATTATTTAAATGTTTTGAAGAGATGAACAAACTGATTTTAAAAATAACTGATATAAAATTGAGATTGGAAATGGGGAATATGTCAAAGAGACAACAACCCGACCAAAGAGCAGATAACAGCCGAAGGCCACGAATGGGTCTTCAACGCAGCTAGAAAATCCTGCACCCGGAGGTGGGCCTCAGCTGGCCCCTAAATAAAAATGTGTACTAGTTCAGTGAAAATGGACGTCATACTAAACTCCAAAACATATAAATGAACTAAAATTAAAAAACATACAAGACTAACAAAGGGCAGAGGCTCCCGACTTTTGACAGGCGCAAAAAGGTGGTGGGGTTAAATGTATACATTATACATAAAATACACTTCAAACAAAATAAGTACTTTGTAGACAAACTGTTGTGCATTTAGGCTTTCTATAAACACTCAGTAATTGACCATCATTTATCACAGATGTTATTTCCTTTTGTTTTAAAGAAATAATAAAAAATCATTATGAACTCTTGAATAATAAAAACAAATCATGATGAACTAATTTTGTTTAACTTTCATGAAATAAAAAGTAAAATCCCAAACTGTTTAGTCTGAAAACTAAATTTTCTCTTTATGTTTTGTTTTATGATATATCACAGAAACTTTACATTCCTCAACTTGTTATTAAAAAGCTATCAAAATTGTCATTTAGATTGAACAAAATAAGATGCTTAAAATACAAACAATGTACTTTTTTTTTCTTTCTTGAGCTAGAGAAATAGCAAACAGACATTTTATTTTAGCGTGTATCATGTCACCATTACACTCCAAAAGATAAACACAGTGATTCTTATTAGACCGATAAACACACTATAATTATTATAGAAGAAAATGACTTTTGGGAACTCAAAATTGTGAAATTATTTACAATCACAAACAACAGTTATTATCAATATAACAAAAAATCAACATTTTTTTCAAAAATATACTCACAAAAAACTTTTGCTAAAAAATTAAAAACATATTTAATAAAAAGAACCAAAATGCACTGTGAGCAATTGCTGGGCTCAATTATTATCCTTTGGCAAATTGGAAATAGAACATCAAAGAAACTGAAACAAGAGAACACACATTGAAATGTCTCGCCTGCTTTACTTACCATGATTGATTTTATGTTGATAGTCCTAAAGATAAAGTTTTGCTACAAGAATCATATAAACTTAACATTTTCCTTAATCCATGAAAATGAGATCAAGGTCACTTTAACCGGCCAGACAGACATGTACACCTTACAATCATTCCACACACTGAATATGGTTGACCTATTGCTTATAGTATACAAGAAACCCTCCTTTTTTTTGACGATCAATGCATTTGAATGGGGACATATAGTTGGAACCCCCCCTTTATCCTGGGTTAGGAACCCCCTTTTATAAATGGCTGGATCTGCCCCTGAATGAATGGGATATAAAGAAACAAGTTATTAAACAGAGCACAAGTTTTAGTATCTAGGGTCTGTTATTGTGAGTAGAATATATTGGCTTCCTTTTCTTGCAATGCTCTAATATTAGGGAAATTTATGCTATCAATAAGAAAACACATTCTGCAGAACTCTGAAAATATTTATGTAATGAATAATAAATTTATTCTTTAAATTTTTCATAAGGAATCTTACGTAAATGGTTTAATAAAATCCTTTGAGACACCAATGAAGAACTTTTGATAAAAATAAAGGACATAATATCATTTATGGTTATGAAAACTATTTTTTTCAAAAAACTATCTGCCATATTCTGATAACCACATTGCAAAATTATCAAAAAATACTTACATTTTACCAGAATAGTGTGCTTTTTATCAAATTTTATGCTTTTAACAGGAATTGCTGTATTGACCTAAGTACTTAAGAGATTTTTTTGTACATAATAAACAGAGAAAATAGTTTTATTTTGAATTATTTGCAAATAACAGTATTGAGCAATTAAGTAAAGTCATCTGTACTGTTAATCCAAAAATTGTATATAAAGCATTTACTATTGCGATTGCTGAGCAACAAACAAAATGCAATATGAATCAATGTCTTTTAAAAAATTGCTGCATATAAAAATTGTGATAAGAATTTAAAATGTGAGTTCTAATTAATGTGATACTTATGCTGTCACATTTTTTCAAAAAATAAAATAATCACAAAAATCTATAAACTTAAAGTACTTGATAATCATATTAATAATTAAATTAATCCTAACATTGCGATAAATTACCACAAAAAATACATCACAACAGAAGTAAAGAAGACATATGAAATGTAGACAAATCCATATTTTTTCACTGAGCAAAGTTCCATAACTCCAGATACTTTTTAAAATTAATTGTGCTTTTTTTATCTATATTTTAATTTTTTTTTTTAAAGAGATGTAATCAGAACAAACTAATTTTCATGGAATAAAGCAATGTACACATTTTTTCTTGTTCAAAGTTTGGTAACTGGAGAAACAAAAGTGAAAACTGTTAGCTTATGTTTATTGACCATATCACAATTACTTACAGAAAGTCCATCTATACTGTCACCTTTAGCTATAGGTGGAAGTGATCTTCCAGAAGCATATGATTCTGAGGCTGAATAAGGTTCAATAGCATCTTCTGATGTTGAAACTTTAGGTTCAAACTGTGGATCATGGTTTCCTGCCTCCCTACTCCATTGTCTACCCATCTGCCATAGACGTCCATAAACTGGGAGTGACTGTGGTAACTCACGTCCTCCATTCATTTTCAAAGCCTCGTTGTAGGAGGGTGGGGCACGAGGATTGTCTATAGGGTCTAACTTTGCTGGTAGCCTTGACCTTTGTGACCTCCCTGACTGATCATCATGTTCTCCTGCTTGAAGTGATATTTCCACTTCTAATGGTGGCTCCTCTTGATTGCTGCCAGCATCTTTTAAAAAAAAAGGGTATGTAGAGAAAAAAATATAAGCAGACCAAAGTTTACAGCCTGTTTGAAAAATTCATATAGGTGGTTCACTTTTCTACTTTTTTTCTTGTGAATTAAATTTTAATTTGGTGGTGTTGTCAGATGTGTCACTCTCTGATCTGAGTTCATTGGTAGTGGTGACAAATTGTCAAGACTCTGGGCAATTTATAGCTTACATTGTTATGGTGTGAAGTGGCATGTTTATCTTTTAAGGCTGTATATATGGTGACCTATGGATGTCTATTTGGAACAATTTGTGATGTTAGGTTACTGTTTTAGTGTTTGCAACAATGGAATGTTGACAACAAAACAAGAGGTTCCAAGGAGCCTAAATTGTTCATTTGGCAATAATATGACATATTGATTTACAGAAAAAAGGATTCAAAATATTGAAAAAAGCTCCCTCCTCAAATCAAATGGGACTTACTCAAGTAGTCATCACAATATTAACAACAAATGGACTGATTTGTAGATCTCAATTTACTTGTTTATCAATTTGGCTGTTAATTTTATGACTGATATCAAGACAACGCCAAAAAGTTCATAAAAATGGGTCCTAGTCTCAAATGGGCGGTTGCAATATTTGTGACTAAGTCAGAAAATATTAAAAAAATCCTCAATCAATTCCATATATAGTAACAGGTGCACCAGTTTCAGGGATCTGGGTTAAGAACTGTAGGGGAAACTGATTACACAAAACTTGTACCCTCTTTAATAAATTTTGCTAAAAAAAGACTACCGGTAAGTTCCCAAGTCTTGAAAAATGAGAAAAAATTCCATAAACAGTACCAGGTGCACAACTTCATCATATGTGTAATTGTCCAGTGAAGTTTTATGAATCTGGGTTGAAAAGTGATGGAGAAGTTGATTACACAAATAAGGCACCCACTTTTCCCTGCCCGACATCACCATAGTATAAGCCGGTTTTGGACTTCATCCAACCCCGCCAAAAATCATCATTATAAAGGATAATAAATCCAATATGTAATATTTCCACCTTTATGATTGATTTACAATTTTTAGAGCATGTTTCACCATGATGCATTCAGTACAATTTTCAACATATTAGACAGTTATTTGCATGTTAGCTAATGTTCTATTTTTATTCATCATGTAGAATGGTTAATTTGAAAGATCATAATGTAATCCACAAACTAAAGTCAGAACTCAGTTTTTTCAGAGGTAATGATCTTTGAGACAAAAATGCAAACAATTATTTTAAGGGAAATATGTCCACTAAACAGTCATTAGACAGATGTGGACATGAATTAATGGCAGATCTTGCATTTCTGGTTATTTATTTTGGCTGTCTTTCTTGTCTATTTGCAATAGTTTCAAGATAACTGGAAGAAATTCTATAAATCATGATAATTGATAAAATAATCCACAGGTAAGTGCTATAAGTCATGTAAGGTGTCAACTAATGGTTTTAGTCATATTGGAATATTTCATAGAGCATGTAATTACTGATAATGTTTACTGTTTTCTTGTAAGGTGCCAGTTGATGGCTTAAATGCTTAAATTGGTCAAAATATATCATTTAAGGAATATTAACCTGTAAAAGGATATTTTTTGTGATATGATGATATACAAATCTCTTCATAAGCATGATAAGTGAACATTCTTGCCCTATAATATTTTCTACACCTATTACACTTTTTAATATGTTAGACAATTACAAACAATGTACTTTGCAGTTTACCTTTATGTTCTATTTTTAGTCATGGATATTGCAATGTTGGAAAGATGATAGACAAAGGATAAAGCTAAATGATAGCTAAAGCTCAGTATACCCCTTGCAGTATATTTCTGACACACCAGCAAAAACTGAGTTTATCCCTTGCAGTATATTTCAGACTCACTAGCTAAAGCTCAGTATACCCCTTGCAGTATATTTCAGACTCACTAGCTAAAGCTCAGTATACCCCTTGCAGTATATTTCATACTCACTGGCTAAAGCTCAGTATACCCCTTGCAGTATATTTCTGACTCACCAGCTAAAGCTCAGTATACCCCTTGCAATATATTTCAGACTCACTAGCTAAAGCTCAGTATACCCCTTGCAATATATTTCAGACTCACTAGCTAAAGCTCAGTATACCCCTTGGAATATATTTCAGACTCACTAGCTAAAGCTCAGTATACCCCTTGCAATATACTTCAGACTCACTAGCTAAAGCTCAGTATACCCCTTGCAATATATTTCAGACTCACTAGCTAAAGATCAGTATACCCCTTGCAGTATATTTCAGACTCACTAGCTAAAGCTCAGTATACCCCTTGCAGTATACTTCAGACTCACTAGCTGTTTTAAAAGCTCATTATACCCCTTGCAATATATTTATGAATCACTAGCTAACATGGCCAAAGCTCAGTATATCACTTGCAGTATATTTCTGACTCACCAGCAAAAGCTCAGTTTATCCCTTGCAATATATTTCTGACTCACCATCAAAAGCCCAGTTTATCCCTTGCAGTATATTTTTGACTCATCAGCAAAAGTTCAGTATATTTCTTGCAGAATATGTCTGACTCACCAGCAAAAGCTCAGTTTATCCCTTGCAGTATGTGTGTGACTCACCAACAAGAGCTCAGTAACTCTCTTGCAGTATACCGGTATATCTGACTCACAAGCAAAAGCTCAGTATATCCCCTTTGCAGTGTATTTCTGACTAACCAATAAAAGCTCAGTATATCTCTTGCAGTATATTTTAGACTCACCAGCATAAGCTCAGTATATCGCTCTCATTTTATTTCGGACTCACCAGCAAAAGTTCAGTATATCTCTTGCAGTTTATTTCTAACTCACCAGCAAAAGCTTAGTTTATCCCATCCAGTAATATGTCTGATTCACCACAAAAATCTCAGTTTATCCCTTGCAGTATATGTCTCACTCACCAGCAAAAGTTCAGTATATCTCTTGCCGTATATTTTTGACTCACCAGCAAAAGCTTAGTTTATCTCACTCAGTATATTTCTGAATAACTAGCTAAAGCTCAGTTTATTCCTTGCAGTATATTTTTGACTCAACAGAAAAAGCTCAGTTTATCTCTCTCAGTATATTTCTGACTCACCAGCTAAAGTTCAGTTTATTCCATGCAGTATGTTTTTGGCTCACCAGCAAAACTCAGTATATCTCTAGCAGTATATTTCAGACTCACCAAGAAAAACTCAGTATACCCCTTGCAGTGTATTTCTGACTCACCAGAAAAAATTCAGTATATCCCCCTTGCAGCATATTTCTGACTCACCAGCTAAAGCTCAGTTCATCCCTTGCAGTGTATTTCTGACTCACCATGAATTTCAAATGGTAATGAAGAAGCCACATTTGGCATTGATAGAGGTCTAGGTCTTCTCCCTTCATCATCTTCAGGTGCTATGGACCTTGATCTTTTCCTAACAGCAACTGAAAATATATTTATAAACTTATATACATGAATATCTTCAATCAGTCCACAAACTATATTTCATTTCAAAATTGAAATCTCCAACAACTTATTAATAACTTTATGAAATAAGATTTTAAATACAAAATAGTCAATATATGTGACAGAAATGAAAAAAATATACTGTGTAATTTCCCTTTTTTATAGGGATATGGCTAGAAAAAATATCTATTGATAAATTTATTTCACATGAAAATATCTCCATAGCATGCATATTCATAAAGCCTTATTGCATTATCCCAAGTCACTGCTGTACAATGAATAAAAGTGTAAAAAATACAATATAATCAAAGCACTGTAAGCGCTGTAGGCAGTTAACCAAAAACCAAGGCAAACGTAATTATGAAAACTGTGGCAATGTTGCTTCAATTTTTTTTAAAGATTTAAAAGAACAAACATTAAACATTCATATATTGTACATTTATGTTTATTTAATGAATTAATTATTAAGGCAAATAATTTATATTTTATCAAGGTTTTTAAACGCATATATCAATGTATATTTTTAATGGTGAGTCTGCAGTGGTACAAGTTCGCAAAGATTGCAGTTGTTCTAGTTGGTAGTTAACATTGGTAATAGTTGACTGTTAGTAGTACAAGTTGACTTAGTACGAGCTTGTAATAGTATGAATGGACTTGCTTCCCTGGAAAGAAAACTGAGTTTGTGTTCTACAGTACAAAAGTTATGAGACACAAATCAGACAAATGTTTACTACTACAGGGATCAAAGGTGAGGTCTGACTGACCTGCCCATAGTAAATGTAAATGACTCCCACCTTCACCCCAAGTCCATGATGTCTAAGTTTGGAATAAAATGACAGGTGATTATAAAACAGTTGGTCAAACATTCTTGGGCTTGAAAGATTTATATATGTTTTCTTTAAAATGAGCCATAAATGTAATATTTTTAAAGGACCAGAAATAATTCAAAATATAATTAGGTAAATTCTTTAAACCTACTCATTTTTTGCATCAATAAAATTTTATGATAAACAAGAAATAATTGTAACAGGATGCTGTTACAAAGTCTCCCAAACAAAGCACCCATAATTATTCCTTCCCATGGTCGCCTGACATTGGGCAAAGTCTAGTACACATTGGTTAGGTCTAGTAAAGTGATATGCATATGTGACACATCGGAGATTGACCTTGTATGTCATTCAAATCATTTTGAAATGACGAACAAGAATAAATATGGTTTAGGAGTTGGTATCTCAACCGTTTACAAGTTCTCAAACACACACAGGAGGGGGTGGGGTGACCCTAGGGACTACCCCTATATTTCATTTGATTTTTTATATTGTCCCATACATGAATATATATGGTTTAGGGGTGGGGATCTCGACCGTTTCAAATTCTCAAACAGGAGGGGGTGGGGTGACCCCAGGGACTTCCACTATATTTTATTTGATTTGTTATATAGTCCCATACATGAGTATATATGGTTTAGGGGTAGGGATCTCGACCGTTTCCAAGTTCTCAAACATGGGGGGGGGGGGGGGGGGGGGGGGGGGGGGGGGGGGGTTGACCCCAAGGACTCCCCCTATATTTCATTTGATTTGTTATATTGTACAATACATGAATATATATGGTTTAGGGGTTGGGAACTCATCCGATTCCAAGTTATCAAACAGGAGGGGGTAGGGTGACCCCATGGACTCCCCCTTTATTTCATTTGATTAGTTATATTGTCCCATACATGAATTTATATGGTTTAGGGGTGGGGATCTCGACTGTTTCCAAGTTCATAAACAGGAGGGGTGGGGTGACCACAGGGACTCCCCCTATATTGCATTTGATTTGTTATATAGTCCCATACATGAGTATATGAGTATATGGTTTAGGGATGGGGATCTTGACCGTTTCCAAGTTCTCAAACAGGGGGGACCGCAAGGACTTCCCCTACATTTCATTTGATTTGTTATATTGTACAATTCATGAATATATATGGTTTATGGGTGAGGATCTCGACTGTTTCCAAGTTCTCTAATAGAAGGGGGTGGATTGACCCCAGGGACTCCCCTATATTTCATTTGATTAGTTATATAGTCCCGTACATGAATATATATGGTTTAGGGGTGGGGATCTCATCCATTTCCAAGTTATCAAACAGGAGGGGGTAGAAAGGCCCCAAGGACTCCACCTTTAGTTCATATGATTTGTTATATTGTCCCATACATGAATATATATGATTAAGGGGTGGGGATCTCGACTGCTTCAAAGTTCCCTAACAGAAGGGGGTTGGGTGACCCCAGAGACTCCCCCTATATTTCATTTGATTAGTTATATTGTCCCATACATGAATAAATATGGTTTAGGGGTGGGGATCTCGTCTGTTTCCAAGTTCTCAAACATGGGGAAAAGGGGGGGGGGTTGACTACAGGGACTCCCCCTATAATTCATTTGATTTGTTATATTGTCCCATGCATGAATATATATGGTTTAGGGGCGGGGATATCGACCGTTTACTAGAAAAAAGCACATTTTCAAATTGAAGGGGGTTGGGATGACCCCCAGGGACTCATCCTATATTTTAATTGATTTGTTTTATTGTCCTGTTCTCATTACTAAAGACCATGTGTGTCTATCACTTACTGTTTTCGAAATAATAGTCATTTGCAAATTAAAAAAAAACAAAAAAAACATTGGGTTCTACAGTAAACCCCTCCCTTCTTTAGGCCCCTTAAAATACCCCCAAATAGATCCCAATGCACAAACGAAAGATTGATGGCTCCGCTAGACATGTTAGTCTAACATTTTATGAAACCCTAAGTAAATCTGACAAGCGGTCCGTGTTGTCTTCTAAGACGGTCCGACTTGTCTCGGGGACGAGTTGTCCCCATTTATTAAAACATCCCATCAACGTCGAACGTCGATTTGATCCGGATCTTTTTCATTCTTAATAACAAGTGTAAACATCGAATGTTGGTGCATTACTTGACAAGGTCATTTATGTGAAAAACGGAGTAATTTAAAAGAATGAAATTCAAATGTGAATACACAATTTATCAACACTCATCTCAAACAAAAGGAATATTATGATTAACAATAATGACCTTTCTATCATCAGAATCCTCCAAATTTAAAAGATACGAAAATTTCGTCTTCTAAATTATTTGAAATTGCCGCCAACAGTTGAACTTATTAATAGACTACTGACGTAGTTGTACTACGTATTGATGACAAACAATATTCCTACGACTTTTGCCATTTGGGAAATCTAAACTACTTGTCTTTAGAGATTTTTGGCGATTAAATATTTCATACAATTGTTCTTTGACATCTTAGCCAAAAGCACAGGGGATAATAAACTACATAAGGATTCCTAATGAGCACTACTTCATATGTGCAACTTCAAAACTTTTGGGTGGTTCGACGATCATTTAAGGTTTTTCTGGTCATATTTTTTGTAATCCAGAATTAAAAGTATGAAAAAAGTGTTCAATTAGTTATAAATAACATAATAGCCAGCTAGATAATAACAATGGCACGTATTTCAGCATTTATTGGGTAGAACACAAATCTAGGGTGCTCGCATAAGGCAGCTTAACTGCCTAAAAATATTACATCGCATGATAGACAGATTTTGTACTTTAATACATACGAAAATTTAACACAAATAAATGGGGAATGTGTCCATAGGACACAGATGATGCCCCTGCTTGCATAAAACGTTAAAAAGGGACATAACACAAGAACTGTAAAAGTGACGCTACCCAAATTTGTACTTGATCTGAGTTTTGAGGTAATAAGCATTGTATATACGTTTAATAACATTTAGTTGAGGCAAACTTGAGTTAGAGAACAGAAACGAAAAATTCAGCAATTTTTCCATTTGTAAAGGGGCATAACTCTAGAACAGTTAAAGTGAGGCCACCAAAATTCAAACTTGATCTGTGTTTTGTGGTAATAAGCATTGTGTATAAGTTTCATAACATTTGGTTGTGGTAAACTAAAGTTAGAGAACGGAAACCAATTTTTGGACGTATGTACGGACAAGGGTAAAACTTAATGCCCTCTCCACTATGGCGGGGGCATAAAAATTAGCGAAACAAGAAATATTCACTATAACTAGAACTATGAAAGGAATTATATGAATAGAATGATATGAAAAAAGGAGGTTTTATACAAGATAAGAGAAAGGTAATATAAACTTGATAAAAGCAAATGCAAAAGCCCAATATCAAACTCTGGTAGTATTTTCTTTGTTTTGTTTTGTGTTGATATGTTAAATGTTTTAGTTGGACAAAGAAAGCAAGAAGGATAAAAACGGATTCTGATTTTTAAAGCATAGCTATGTACTACTGGCTGCAATTGATAATGCAATAAATGGGGAATGTGTCCATGGGACACAGATGATGCCCCCCCTGGCATATCATATAAAAATATAAAGGGACATAACTGAAGAATGGTAAAACTGGCGCTACCCAAATTTGTTATTGATCTGAGTTTTGTAGTAATAAGTATTGTGTATAAGTTTCATAACATTTGGTTGAGGCAAACTTAAGTTTGAGAACGGAAACAAAAAATTCAGCAATTTTTCCATTTTTAAAGGGGCATAACTCTACAACGGTTTAAGTGACACCACCAAAATTCAAACTTGATCTGTGTTTTGTGGTAATAAGCATCGTGTATAAGTTTCAGCAATTTTTCCTTTTGTAAAGGGGCATAACTTTACAACGGTTTAAGTGAAGCCACCAAAATTCAAACTTGATCTGTGTTTTGTGGTAATAAGCATTGTGTATAAGTTTCATAACAATTGGTTGAGGCAAACTAAAGTTAGAGAAAGGAAACGAAAAATTCAGCAATTTTTTCATTTGTAAAGGGCATAACTCTACAACGGTTTAAGTGACGCCACCAAAATTCACACTTGATCTGTGTTTTGTGGTAGTAGGCATCATGTATAAGCAATTTTTCCTTTTGTAAAGGGCATAACTTTACAACGGTTTAAGTGATGCCACCAAAATTCAAACTTGATCTGTGTTTTGAGGTAATAAGCATTGTGTATAAGTTTCATAACATTTGGTTGAGGCAAACTATAGTTAGAGAATGGAAACAAAAAAATCAGCAATTTTTCCATTTGTAAAGGGGCATAACTCTACAACGGTTTAAGTGACGCCACCAAAATTCAAAATTGATCTGTGTTTTGTGGTAATAAGCAGTGTGTATAAGTTTCATAACATTTGGTTGAGGCAAACTAAAGTTAGAGAATGGAAACAAAAAATTCAGCAATTTTTCCATTTGTAAATGGGCATAACTCTAAAACGGTTTAAGTGATGCCACCAAAATTCAAAATTGATCTGTGTTTTGTGGTAATAAGCATTGTGTATAAGTTTTAGCAATTTTTCCTTTTGTAAAGGCACATAACTCTAGAACAGTAAAAGTGACACCACCAAAAATCAAACTTGATCTGTATTTTGTGGTATTAAGCATTGTGTACAATTTTCATAACATTTGGTTGAGGCAAACTAAAGTTAGAGAATGGAAACCAACTTTGGGACGTACGGACAACGGCAAAACTTAATGCCCCCTCCGCTACGGCGGGGGCATAAAAACTTAAACATGGAAGAAACTGCATGTTATTTGTTTTATTAACCATATCCAAAAACAAATAAAAATAAGCATGCATTACGTATACTGTTGCACTAAAATAGATCAATATTCTTTAAAACCTTTTAAATGCTGTTAATCACAGTGTTTTTAATTAGACCTAATAAAGCAATTCGATGTGGAAACCATCACTTATCATTTACAGAAAAAATAAACTCTACTTTTTTACTGGATATTTTTTTTGGCAAAACTTTAAGCAGCCAATTGGTTTGCTTCTGTATCATTAAGATAATTTTTTGTATCAATAAATAAGCTTCAACAGCATATACTATTCTGACATTTAGTACAATCAGTTATTTAGTAACTTACAGTTAGGTGAATCTATTGAAATATGGTTGCAAAATAATAAATGTATATTTTTCAATAAATTAACATTCTGTGGAAAGTAAGTCGCAACAAGCTGCATGCATTAAGATTTATCCAAATTATTCTACAAACACCCAAAATTCACATGTTATGACTATATAACTAACTACATGTATAAACATAAAGCATGCAGATAAATGTAAAAATATATTGGCAAATAACAAATAGATGGACCAAAGCTGATTGTAACTTGAAATTGTCCCCCATTAGCAGTTTTATGCAAAATTTAACATTTCATAAAATCATGAAATACACAAGGTATAAAAATGAATGAATTTCATCATATGATAAAGTTCAACATAATTGAATTGCACTGTAGTGTTCTCCCCATAAAATTCATAAAGCATCCTAACCCGAATAAATCAGTCGTTATATTTTGATCACTATGATCACTCAAGTAATTGGAGGCGAAGAGAATCGGAGACAGTAAGGGCTTGAATTATTAGAGTCAATAGCATCCTGGTAAACGGAAATTTTTAAATACTGCCTTGTTTCTAGAAATCAAAGCATCACATACATAACACAGCATAAGAAAGTCCTTTCAGACAGCATAAAAATAAAGTAATATAGCATCACATCACAATGATGGTATAAAGCCATGGGGAGAAAACTGCTGATTCATGGCTACTCATCCAATTCTAACAGTATGATTGAAAATGTTTATACAGTCTACTGTGGATTCATTATCATTCGTCGGTAATTCGTGGGTAATCAATTTTTGTGGATTTCTAGGGTAAAAGTTCAGCGAAGTACACATTTTTTAAAGGCTTGTGTCAAACTTTGGCAAAACCATGAAATCATAAATCCATCAAAATACAAGTTTATCTCACTCCACTAAAATTGGTATCCATGAAAAATAAAAGAATCTACACACACACAGTATACTAAATCATACACAGTAGAAGGATTTGTGGGGAACCCTGGTATTCTCTACCAAAAGTGATTTTGACCATCTCTGAATATGTACATATATGTATTTGCCAAAGTCAACTGCTGATAAGTATGTACAATTTCAAGTTAGATTTGAGTATACTTACAATCTGTGTTCTGCTGTATTTGAGGTACTAAAATTTCAATGGAGGTAAAAATCAGTAATTATTAGTAAGGGATTTTAATAAGATTATATATAAAGTTTATATTTTAGTAAGAATTGAGATTCTAAATCTATTTAAAAATATTAACATTATAATCAAGATTAAAACTTATAAATTTAGGAATTCTCTAGAATATTTTTTTTTCGTAAAGAGCAGAACGCATTTGTGTATGAATGAAGGAAAATGTATCAAATGATAAAAAATTGAATTCTATGTATAAAGGACTGAAAATAAATACATAAATAAAACATTGCAAATAAAATATATTAAAAAGTGCTACATAACAACCGTAAGAAAAAATATCTATTTGAACCAGAGATAACTCTAATGATACTTGAAGGAATAGAATTGTTGAATAAATGTTTACTTGAGGCATGCTTCCTTTGTGAACCAACATCATATCAACAAATGTTAACTTTAAAATCTTTCCATTCTGGCCTATGTTAATAATATTTTATTGAACAGTTCTGGGATATTAAAAACAATCAATTTGTATAAATTATAAAGTGTTGCAAACAGTAAATCTTATCAATTAGGTACAAAATTCAAACCCTTAGTATATAAATTTAAATATGTATGTGGTATAATTTTTTTATTTCATTTGATAAAATCACTCCTGCTAATTATTAGACTGTAAAAACCTTATTTCAAGGCCAATTAATACAGACATGACAGGTTATATTGAGGTGTGTGCCAATTTTAAAAGGCAAATGTTGAATTTTACAAATATATTGCAACATGTCAAAAGTGAAATTTCTGATCATTGCATTATATACATCTCATTTAAGCATTTTAAAATTTAATTTAAACAATTTTGCAGATTTGCACTGATGTTGTACATTTTTACCTTTTAACTCAAAATTATGGAGTACTTTTTCCAAATAGTTTTGAAAAAAGAATGAAGGTGCATAAATTAGTTCCACTTTGTGATCAATTCGATATTTTATAAGGGGAAGCAAAATTTTGATGTTTTGATGCTCATGATGGTAAAAGTAACAATTTTTATTATGAAAAAGTCAAATTAAGGTCCACATAAAAAACCAATTATATATAAAATAAAATTGTTTATTATCATTCATGTTACAACATACTTGGTATTACAAATTAAATAGAGATATATAAAAGCTCATTACATAAAAACAAAACCAAAATAAACAATCTGACACAAAATTTCAGAAATACACTTTTGTCTTTTCCCTTATAATCATGATAATGTTCAATTCTTATCCTCCCAAAATTACATCTAGTACTGAGAAATCGAATTCATAATTGGTTATTGTCATAACTGCACACATCAAGCACTTAACTGTCAATAACGGTTACTTACTAAGTGTATCATCTATTATGGTTTGCCATTTATTTGATAGTGAGGGCATCACAATGCGTCCATGTTCTGTGTCCACGGTTTCATGCTCTCTATTTCGTCGCTCTAAAAATTTAGCTGTAGCCTCCTGCATTTTCTTTCTGGCTCCATTTTCATCGCCTAAAAATTAAAGCTACATTACACTTCAGATTAAGGGCTATTTACCAAAATTAGCTATATTGTGGTCAGCTAAAGATTCAGAATAAAAAAAATAGGAGATGTGGTATGATTGCCAATGAAACAACTATCCACCAAAGTTCAAAACTAGTTTCTAATGTTTCAATTCATATCAGTATCCACAATCAACTAGTTTCTAATGATTCAATTTATATCAGTATTCACAATCAACTACAAGCCCACTGGTCCTGGCCAGTGAAAATGTAGAAGGGCCAGAACCAAGTTTCTTAAAAGAGGAGTTACAAGCCTTATTGATATATATATAGAGAGAAAATTCTTAATATACAGTTTTAGGGCGGGTTAGCTAAGTAGTCTTTAAGACTGTCATACTTGAATTGATACTGTATCATACATTATCTAATCACCAGTATAGATAGTTTTCAGTTGATGTAATTCGAGTTGGAGTTATTTCCCTTGGCTGCCTAGTTAGATGGCAAACTGGTTGGTTATCATATTTGATTGATGAAATTTAAACATGTAGTTCATGCAAGGCTGGTAAATGTTCCTTACTTGATTGTAGTGATGAATTATACAAGGCTTAAAATTAAAATATTGTGAAGAAAAAAACTTTTTCTAAAATCTATGTAAAAATTAAATGTCAGTATGAACAGTGTATGTATAACAAGTTGAATTTGGATGATTTATGAAGGAACTACCAAAAAGTACCCTGTCAAGGATCACCTGATACTTTTAAAGTTTTGTTAATAAATTCATTATCTATAAAACTAGTGGCTACAATCATGACAATCATGACATTCTATATTCATGATGATATTGTATATTTGTATATATTTACCAGTTTCACATAAAGACAAAGTGATAAGAATAAACATTTCTTGAAGGTGATTTTTCATACTTATACATGTAGGTGATGATTTACTGATTCATAATAAAATTTCAACCGTGTATTAAACCATAAATATAATATACAGGTGAATAGTTTTATCAGAGGTCAATGGCCACATCATAAATAAACTGCTTCGCTGAGCGCAGCTGGATACGCCTGCAGAGGTCCAACCCTGAACAGTTGGGGCAAAAATGGACACAATATTCAAGCTTGATACAGGTCTGAATTTGGATTGTAATTAAATATTTGACATATTATAGGTTTCTGAATAAATGTAGTCAAAGAACTTGAAATTGGTTATATGAATTGAATTTATATTCAATTAAAGATTTCTTGCTGTTGTGCAATACACTGTGCTGTTGCGCAATACTTAGTAAATCTGTTGTCAGACTATAAACAAATAAAGTTCAATTAATTCTCAATGTCATATTAGAAATTTATGAAAATGTAAAGGGAGCTTACATCAATAGATATAAACAATTCATCAAAGTTTCATGAGAATTGCTGACAGCATTTTTGAGTTATTGTCCTAAAACTGGAAAATCCCCCCTTTTTTAATGAATAAAACCCCATAACTCAGAAATGATAAATGAAAAATTTATAAAATTCTAAACGGAGCTAACATCAATAGATATAAAAAATTCACCAAAGTTTCATAAGAACTGCTGAAAGCATTTTTTATTTTTTGTCCGAAAAACTGCAAAATCCCCCTTTTTTTATGAATAAAACCCTGTAACTCGGAAACGTAAAATCTAAAATATAATAAAAATTGAAAGGGAGCTCATGTCAATAGATATAAACAATTCACCACAATTTCTTGCAAGTTGGTGAAAGCATTCTTGAGTTATTGTCCGAAAACTGGAAAATCCCCCTTTTTTTAATGAAAAAACCCAATAACTAGGAAACGTAAAATCTTAAATTTATAAAAAACGAAAGGGAGCTCACGTCAATAGATATAAACAATTCAACAAAGTTTTATGCAAATTGGTTAAAGCATTTTTGAGTTAATTACCGACATGTTGACGACAGACGGACAATGGTATACCATAATACGTCCCGTAAACGGGAGTATAAAAAATCTCCTTTTTTTCACTTTTGTCTCTCAACAATTTAACAGTAAACAGATTGTGTATAATGCATAGAGTTAGAGTTAATGATATAAAGCAGCTCCAAAAACTAATCCTATACAATATTTCACTGTACTATTTTAAACCATCACATGCATGGCATGTGTAGTCATTTCAATGGTTTGTCAATCTTGTCTTTGGTTACACAAAATGACTAGAAATGACCTTGCTAAGTTGTAAATCAATCTAATCTGATTGTGTAGTTTATGAACAATAAAATATGTTTAAACTAAATAGACTTATAAAAATCATAAAACACAGTACATGTGCCCTTACCAAGAACCTATTTTCAATATAAATTGTAGGTGTATATATATACATTTTTTATATATCTATGACAGTATGATTCATTGAAAAAATACTTACCATCAGCCATCTTTTAGTTATGATTCTAGACTGTCAGAAATCTGAAAGTAACAATTGTTTGCAATGCACAACTAGTTAAATTTTCTGCATTTTAAAGTACAAATAAAATGCTCCGCAGGGCGCAGCTTGATACGACCGCAGAGGTCGAACCCTGAACAGTTGGGGCAAGTATGGACACAACATTCAAGCTTGATACAGCTCTGAATTTGGATTGTGATTAAATATTTGACACAGCATGGGTTTCTGACACAGAATGAATGTGGTCTAAGAACTTAAAAATTTTAAATTGGACATTCACCTATTATGGTCCAATATCCAAAATCTAAATACATGGTTAGATTCAGCATATCAAAGAACCCCAAGAATTCAATTTTTGATGAAATCAAACAAAGTTTAATTTTGGACCCTTTTGACCTCAATGTGGACAAAGTTGATAACGGGGCCCAAAAATCAAAAATCTAAATACATGGTTAGATTCAGCATATCAAAGAACCCCATATATTCAATTTTTGTTGAAATCAAACAAAGTTTAATTTTGGACCCCGATTTGGACCAACTTGAAAACTGGGCCCATAATCAAAAATCTAAATACATGTTTAGATTCAGCATATCAAAGAACCCTAAGAATTCAATTTTTGTTAAAATCAAACTAAGTTTAATTTTGGACCCTTTGGACCTTAATGTAGACCAATTTGAAAACGGAACCAAAAATTAAGAATCTAAATACACGGTTAGATTCGGCATATCAAAGAACCCCAATAATTCAATTTTTGAAGAAATCAAACAAAGTTAAATTTTGGACCCTTTGGACCTCAATGTGGACCAATTTAAAAACGGGGCCCAAAATCCAAAAACTTAATACACGATTAGATTCAGCATATTAAAGAACCCCAAGAATTCAAGAATAAAACCCCATTGAAATTGATCAAGAAATAAGCAATTTATACGAAGTATCTTCTTTTGCACAATACTGTGCAATTGAATATTTCTTGCTATTGCGCAATACTGTACAATTGACAATTTCTTGCTATTGCACAATATTGTGCTATTGGATATTTCTTGCTATTGCTCAATACTGTGCAATTGAAGATTTCTTGCTATTGCGCAATACTGTGCAATTGAAGATTTCTTGCTATTGTGCAATACTGTGCAATTGAAAATTTCTTGCTATTGCACAATACTTATTATATAATAATTTACACATCCTGTTTGGTGTGTATCTCCTACCATATCATTATTATTTGCTTTTAAATATTAATCAGAAATAACCAACTTAAAATGGAAAATTTTAAAAGAAAAAAAAAAGGAAAAAAAGAAAAAAAAAATCCCCCCCCCCAAATTTTTTGAACCCCCTTATGATTCATCACCCCCAAACTCAATCCCAGCCTTCCCTTTGTGGTATGGTACCTTGCAGTACAATTTCAGAGAGATCCATACACTTGAACACAAGTTATTGTCTGGAAACTAGAAAAATGCTTATTTTTGACCCCTTTTTGGCCCCCAATTCCTAAACTTTTCGTGGCAATTACCCCCAAACTTAATTCCAGCTTTCCCTTTGTGATATGGAACCTTGTAGTACAATTTCAGAAATATCCAAACACTTACACACAAGTTATTGTCATGAAACTAGAAAAATGCTTGTTTTTTGCCCCTTTTTTGGCCCCTAATTCCTAAAATTTTGAGGCAATTACCCCAAAAATCAATTACAGCCTTCCCTTTGTGATATGGAACCTTGTGGTACAATGTCAGAGAGATCCATACACTTACACACAAGTTATTGTCTGGAAGTTACAAAAATGCTTATTTTTGGCCCCTTTTTGGCCCCTAACTCCTTAACTGTTGGTACCATAACCCCCAAAATCAATCCCAACCTTCCTTTCGTGGTATTGAACCTCATGGTAAAATTTCATGGAGATCCATTCACTTAAACTAAAGTTAGAGTGCGAAAACCAATGTGTTCGGACGACGCCAGACGACGACGACGACGCCAACGTCATACCAATATACGACCAAAAAATTTTTAATTTTTGCGGTCGTATAAAAATATGGTACTTTCATTAGTTAGTATTTGTACTTGCTGATTGTAATCTATATTTGTTGATTTTATCCAGTTTTTGATTAATGCGGTATCTATATTTGTTGATTTTGTACAGCTTCTGATTAATGCGGTATCTATATTTGTTAATTTTGAACAGCTTTTGATTAATGTGTTATCTATATTTGTTGATTTTGAACAGCTTTTGATTAATGTGGTATCTATATTTGTTAATTTTGAACAGCTTTTGATTAATGTGTTATCTATATTTGTTGAATTTCACTAGCTTTTGATTTATGTGTTATCTATATTTGTTGATTTTTTTTTAACATGTTTAAATAGTTAATGTACAAATCTACCTGCACTGTTGTTTCTTTTAAATGTGAGTTTTTTTTTTAAATAAGAGTACAGAGGCCTAGGGTACCACGATTTCCTGAGAACTCCCAAGAACTGAATATTGACCTGAGAATCGATAAATGTTACCTGAAAACTTTATTCTATATGCTGATATGGTTTTATACTGCTTTTATAGTTATTAAAGCATATAATTTTGAAATATAAGTATTACTCAAAAAAGTACAATTTCACTTCAAAAATTTGATTTAAAATTGAGAATGGAAATGGGGAATGTGTCAAAGAGACAACAACCTGACCATAGATCAGACAACAGCCGAAGGCCACCAATGGGTCTTCAATGCAGCGAGAAACTCCCACACCCGGAGGCGTCCTTCAGCTGGCCCCTAAACAAATATGTATACTAGTTCAGTGATAATGGACGCCATACTAAACTGATTTGTGTGTCTTGTATACTAGTTCCTTGTATAAAAATATGGCGGACATAATTATTCAAAAAATAGCTATACTAAGGTAACTGTCTCCAAACAAGCATTCTGAGAGTATTGCATGGCAATACATAGTCCCCTACCAGATAAAAATTCATTATACTAGAACAAAATGCTAACTTGTTCTATAACTTGTCATGGTGTACATGGTGTAAACAAAAAGTAAATATCATGTCAATATCTTCAAGCATGACTAAAAACAGTGTGGAAAACTGATTATATGCGTGAATTTTTCAAGTCCAAGGACCATAACTCTGCACAAAATTATTAAACCAAACCAAAAATTTGAACTTGATCTGTAACTTGTCATGATAAAACTATATATATACCAATTATCAATCAATATCTTATAAGCATGATGAAAAAAAAACATCAGATATGATTAATAGTTCTCTAAAATTAGATATGATGTAATACAGTGTATATCTATTTTCAAATTATAATCAATTATATTATAATTAATAGTTCCAAATATTTTTTCTTTCATTTGTCACAAACTAATATAGATTTGTAACTTATCTATAAAATGTCAACAACTTTTATCTACACAATGTAATGTATTGAAATATATACATTAATAAAAATAGATTATTATCTAATAAAAGGATTTTTCTTCATAATTTTTTTTATATATATATAGCATTCAAAAAATTAGTTTATACTAAATAACAAACAAATCTGCCAAAAAATTCTTCAAATAATTTAACAAAGAATGTCTTTTAAAAAATTAGTTATCTCCCTTTGTACAGAAATATGGTTTAACATAGTACTCTAACATAAGGTATGGTCCAGAGTTATGGTCCATAACTCTAGACTAAATCATCAGACTGGAACAAATTTCGAACTTGATCTATAACTTGTCATGATAAAACTATATACCAAATATCAAATCAATATCTTCAAGAACGAAGAAAAAAAGTGTGGAAAGCTGATTTGCCAGACTTGCGGATGGACAGACGGACGGACAGACAGACAGACTGAGTGCAAACCTAAAGTCCCCTCCGACTTCGTCGGTAGGGGACTAATAAACAAGTAAAAAAGTTCTGAAATGATTAGTTTCTTTAATAATGGAAATTTGAGAAGTAAATACTTTATAAATCATTTGGAAAACTTAAATTAAATAAAAAGTGATTAATACTTTTATTAAGATATATCATAGAGTTATCCACCTTCTGAATATCTATGTCCGCCATATTGTTATCCACATGGAACTTGCATACAAGACACACAAATCCAATTCATGAAGTGAAATTGTACTTTTATTGAATATGTAACCGGAGAGCAAGATTCTCTCACAAAATCACTTTGTCTCCTTACAAGGCAGCGCTCTAACCAACTGAGCTAAAGAAGTACTTCCCTAGCCAACCGCTTACGGCTGATTAAGTATCTAGTTCATATACATGCTGTATAATGTCTCATGTTTGTTGCTTATATTGTCATATCTAATTATAATTGTTAATTGTAAATGCCACCTGTAGAACCATGATTGGAATATTAAAATATTTGATTTTGATTTGATTTTGATTTATACTATAAAGGAAGCAAACCTGTCACAAGTATGAAGGACTTGTATCTTGAAATTATATACTTAAATATCTATTAACATGATTAAGGGCATAGGATACAGTTTTGATCCCACAGTGATTTTTTGAAGAAAGTTTGCATGCAAGCTATTTTTCACCTAGTCAATTCAAATATGTAATAAAAAATATACCTTCACTATGTTCATGTGCTACTTTTACATGTTTTAGAAATAAACGGGGGTTGAAAATTTTGGACATTTACTGGAAATTTCGGTTTCTTGGACATTTCTATCCTTTGGAAAGATATAATTTAACTTTTTCGTATCAAAAGTTAAATGCAAGCGGATTTTTGTAAAAACATCTGGAATAATCTTTTCTACATTTATTATAAGTGTGCTTGAATTTGTGCAAAGATTCTTTCGAAATAATTCTTTTTATCACATTTTCAGGATTTTAGTCAAAGAACAGCATTTTTTGCTGTACATGCTGTATATTTATCTAATTTTTAAAAATTTCATCGGTGATTTGCTAAAAAATTTGGCACAAATAATCTTCATGATCAAACATAATCAAGCCAAATGTAATTTCTAATAAAATGCTCCGCTGGGGCGCAGCTTGATACGACCGCAGAGGTCGAACCCTGAACAGTTGGGGCAAGTATGGACACAACATTCAAGCTTGATACAGCACTGAATTTGGATTGTAATTAAATATTTGACACAGCATAGGTTTCTGACACAGAATGAAAGTGGTCTAAGAACTTAAAAATTTTCAATTTACCTATTCATACATGTGATGGACTGTGAAACTCAGATCAGGAGATTGGGAAATTTTGGTCAGGAGATTAGGACTCAGATCAGGAGGTTTTTAATCGACATTAATTTTGTTGTAAATGTAACCGTGTGCTGTAAAAATGGTCTTTTAAAGTGTGTTTTCTTCAACTTTCCAACCAATTTATTATGTTTATAGTACCCTTGTACTTATAAAGTTTCTCCATCTTTATATTCTACATGTTCAATCTAACATTGTTTTTTTCCAGTATGTTCTTTAAATTTTTTACTTCATATTCTATAAAACAATCATTGCAACCAGAACATTTGTTTAGCTGTCTGCAAATAGTTTTTATTTTTTTTTTTTTCTCTTGCAAATAGTTTTTATTTGCAAAGTCAGAAATTCATTCTATCTGTAAAGTTAGGGTCATAGTTATTATATAAATTTCAATTTAAGCCTTAAAAGGAAGTATAGAATCCTCAAATAATTTTCAAATTATTATTTTTTTATTTGTCCTAAGACATTTAAAATCATTTAATAACCATCCTTTTATGATTATTTGTTCAATTTATATTTTATTTATATTCTTTTAAAAATTTTCATTATTAAAAGGAAAGTAACTTAAAACAGGATAAATCAAGGGAAGTAACCCAATAAATACACAGTTTTTGTTACACAACGGCAGTTAGCCTGAGGTAAAAATCGTTGCTTACCAGTATGTTTGACACCCAAGCTGACAAGTGAAGCCATATAATTATGCATGTTAATTGATTTACAGGTAAAATATAACTTCAGGTAATGTCAGTTACACCAGATGCCTGAGATGTTTTGTTGGGCAGAAATTTTTCATTCATGAAAAATTTCATACACGGGATTTTTTCAACGGGAGGGGGGAGGAGACCCCTGAAAACGGGATTATTGTACTCCCGTCGGGAGGTTCACATGTATGCCTATTCAAACCATATCATTATTATTTGCTTTTATATATAAATCAGAAATAACCAATTTAAAATGGAAAATGTTAAAGAAAAAAAAGGAAAAAAAAAATCCCCCACCCAATTTTTTGAACCCCCTTATGATTCATCGCCCCCAAACTCAATCCCAGCTTTCCCTTTGTGGTATGGTACCTTGCAGTACAATTTCAGAGAGATTCATACACTTGAACACAAGTTATTGTCTGGAAACTAGAAAAATGCTTGTTTTTTGGCCCCTTTTTGGCCCCAAATTCCTAAACGTTTAGGGCAATTACCCCCAAACTCAATTCCAGCTTTCCCTTTGTGATATGGAACCTTGCAGTACAATTTCATAAAGATCCATACACTTACACACAAGTTATTGTCCTGAAACTAGAAAAATGCATGTTTTTTTTGCCCTTTTATGGCCCCTAATTACTAAAATTTTGAGGGAAAACCCCCAAAATCAATCCCAGCCTTCCCTTTGTGATATGGAACCTTGTAGTACAATTTCATAAAGATCCATACACTTACAAACAAGTTATTGTCATGAAACTAGAAAAATGCTTGTTTTTTGCCCCTTTTTTGCCCCTAATTCCTAATATTTGGAGGAAATTACCCCATAAATCAATCCCAGTATTCCCTTTGTGACATGGAACCTTGTAGTACAATTTCATAAAGATCCATACACTTACAAACAAGTTATTGTCATGAAACTAGAAAAATGCTTGTTTTTTGCCCCTTTTTGGCCCCTAATTCCTAAAATTTGGAGACAATTACCCCCAAAATCAATCCCAGCATTCCCTTTGTGATATGGAACCTTGTGGTACAATGTCAGAGAGATCCATACACTTACACACAAGTTATGTCTGGAAGTTACAAAAATGCTTATTTTTGGCCCCTTTTGGCCCCTAATTCCTTAACTGATAGTACCATAACCCCCAAAATCAATCCCCACCTTCATTTTGTGGTATTGAACCTTATGGTAAAATTTCAATGAGATGCATTCACTTAAACTAAAGTTAGAGTGCGAAAACTAATGTGTATTCGGACGACGACGCCGGACGACGACGACGACGACGACGCCAACGTCATACCAATATACGACCACAAAAATTTTTTTGCGGTCGTATAAAAAGAGGGGTCCATGAACTCTTTTTTAAGTTAAATCAGTCTGAATGATAAAAATCAGTCTAAAATGCATCTTTTCCCGATATGTCACAGTTTGACATCGTGAAAAAATAATATTTTACATCAGCAAAGTCATTACCTCCCCTGTAACTGTATCGTATGCCCTTAAAGCAGTATAACACGATATAAAATAGAGTTTTGGGGTAACATTTATCAGTTCTCTGGTCAATATTCAGTTTTTGGGATAACATTTATCAGTTATCTGGTCAATATTCAGTTCTTGAGTGTTTTCACTTAAATCGTGGTACCAGAGTACAGAGAACAAACTGCTGATTAATGTAATGTATTCTCTGAAATTCCTCTGACGGGCTCTGTAGTGTTTTCAATTTTGCAACATACACTGTTTCTTTTGAAAAGGATGAAATAATAAATTTTGGTAGGCAAATCTTGTTCTGCAGTCACAGGCATAAGTCGATCTCTCTGCTATGTCTCCGGTAACATTACAAATTATATCTTCCCAACAATGGCAACATGACAAATAATTTGGTAGTCAAAATAATTATGAAGGAAAACGTCACAGAAAAAAAAAATAAAATAGCCTAAAAGATCATATTTATTTGGACTAATAAATTATTTGGAAACATATTAAACTGTTACATGGTTAAAAACACATTTGGCGATATTCGGCAGCTAAGTCGTTAGAAAAGTTGCCATTCGGGGGTCTAAATAAAATATGGGTATTGTCAAAATTAGTATACAAACCTGATTCGCGCGAAATAACTACACAATCAAATCATTCTGTCGATTTTGCAATGTTTTGATCATTTCCGTGTCATTTCGACATTTCGACTGTTTCCACCATATTTTATACATACTAGACTAAACGAAAAAAAGTTATGAGTTCAAACCAGGAACCAGCTCAATTTACACCGCATTCGGAAACGGATACTTAATTCCGGACTACACAACATTATTACCACATGTACAATGTAAACATAATATAATATGTAACAGTAACAAACAAATATGTTGCAAATCTGAAGGTGAATGTAGTTAAGAGATCACATGTTTTTACTGCACTACTAACAAATCAAACTCCCTGGAATAATGTACTACATATAAAAAATATATGCAAGAATGCCATCATCCCTCTCAGTCTAGCCTGGGACCAGACAGTCATATGATACTATGTCTATGTATTATATGTCTCTGCTGGGACTATTATACTAACATTATATTGTGTCTCAGGTCTAGCATAGACTGTATCTATTTGATGAGTTAAGCCCTTTTTAACTGATTTGTATCTATAGTTATTAATGAGTTCTTATGTTGTACTGTTACACCACTGTCCCAGGTAGGGGGTGCCAGCAAACATGTTTAACTGTGCCACATGCAGTATGTACCTGTCCCAAGTCAGGAGCCAGTTAGTGTAAATCAGTAGTTGTCTTTTGTTGATGTATATCATATTTTTTTTATTTATTGTTTTGTAACATAAATCAGGCCGTTTTAAGTTTTAATTCTCTTTTGAATTGTTTTACATTTGTCATTTCATAGCCTTTTATAGCTTAAGGTTCATGTGGACCCTTTGGCTAAAATGGCTGCGTTTTCACCTCAAAATTTACTCGTGAATACAGACTAACCTGTGCATCTGGAAAAGTTTTGAGGCATAGCATGATGATGCCCGTGATGAATAAATTCAAAATGCATTTTATGTTTTAGAAAATTTAAAACTTAATTGGATTTGCTTTTCTCTATTTTTCGTCCCTGCAGAAGATGATAAAATTAACAAGCAGTTGAGTTTCACTTGATATGGTCCACTCAGGTACACAGTTTAAACCACCAATTATTGTCAGGTATCTAGTGTTTCTCTATTGTCCATGTTTATAATCAATACACATGATACAGTTCACTTCAATTATTACCTGTGGGGAAGTTCTCATTAAACCTTTTTCCCCAACTTAGTTTATTTTGGCAGATTCTGGAGGAATGAAAAAAAGTGCACTGCAAAATCCAGTTAAGTTTTTAATTTTCTAAAGCATAAAATGTATTTGAATTTTATTTATCTAGAGCATGCTATGCAGCCTTTAACTTTCCAGATACCCAGGTTTCTCAAAGTAAATTTTTATGTGAAAATGCAGCCCTTTTAGCCAATGGGTCCACATGAACCTTAACTTACTTTGTGGTGTGGGTTTTGCACATTGTTGAAGGCTGTATGGTGACCTATAGTTCTGAACTTCTATGTCATTTCGTCTCTGCTGGAGAGTAATGTCTCAATAACATTGACTGGTCAGTTCAAAATTATTGTTCAGATTTTGACCTATGGGCAATAATTATAAAGCAGGTGGAAAATAAGAATACAGGGGGATCTGTAAAAAAGACTGTTGCTAGATGATAAAGATAATTGCAAGAATATGTTAAAAATTGGGAAAAACAAGTTACAACAAGAATAAAGAAATTTACTTTCAATGATTTTTTTTAAACAATAAAAGGGGATCCATTTCCCATGCTTCTAATGGTATGTAAATAAATGGTAAACAAATGTTTTTTAATGGATTTCATTTTGTAAAGGAATTTGTATATATTCTCTCCCAGAATTGCTAATGATATAAGGAATATATATAGTAACCTTCAATTTCTTTATTCATAAAATTAGAAATTAAAACAATATGAAGTGGTACGGAAACAATAAAATTGTGCAAACCATCCAAGGCTGAACCAGTATATACATGTATATATGGCTGAAACAACATATGGCCAAAGTGGAAATGTGCTGCTTGATAGTTATTGTATTGACAACAGCTTATATTGAAAAGTTGTAAGAAATTTTTGCAAATTAACATTAATATTATCAAACAAATACATGTATATAGATTTTTGTTATAATTGAACACATACCATATCAGATACCATAATAATACCAGAGGTCTGCAATCACTTGGTATCAGTCAGCCACCATCAACTTATTTCAAAATTTACACTACATATATGACAAATAAATGACATATTTTTCACTTTTGAGTGATAAATGTATTAGAAAAGGCAAATGAACTCTTACGTAGCAATTATATAGGTGGTTCCAACATGGTCAAATCCAACCTGTGTCCTTTGGGGGTTTGGCATTGAGCATTCCTGATGTTTCATTCATAAAGGAGCTGTGACTATGTTCAAAACCTAGAATCAGGTCAGTTTAGAACTTTATAGTTTGCTTAAAAGGGATTGCTAAACTGAGACAATTTTTAAACATGACCATGTGACTTTACAAAGTTACGTGACTAGAGCCCATATAGAGTTACTTTCCCTTGAATCAGACCACTTACACTTTCCTTGTACCTTCATGAGAGCATAGGAGTACCTTGACAGGTTCAGAATTCACCAGAAACTACAAGCAAAAAAATCAATATGAATGTTCCAGATACCATTTGAACTGCTTGGAACTAATCATGAAATATATTTTAGTTGCTGCTCTGAATTAGCCTTTAGATGGACAATTTTGATCTTGAGTCCAACCCCAAAATTAATGTCTTTAAAAAGACAAAATTGAGAACAAAAATCATCTCAATCATGACACATATATTTAATGAATGTATTTAAATATCTTTAACATGCATGACATGTTTAACAATAATCATTTGTTATTGTTATTGGAAAAAAAGATAATATTTGAAGTTGGGACTTTGTTGATGTCAGCTGCAGTGGTCAAAAGGTGTCAGTCATCCATTATTAAGTATTTCAAGATGATCTCCTTTCAAACCACTAGGAATATTTAAACCAAAGAAGATCAAAATATTCCTTATTATAAATTATGTGTTAGGTCCTGGCATCAACCAACCAATATGGCTGCTAAGGCAAAAAAAGGACATAAAATTGTCTCATATCTTGGAGACCATAATAATTAATAAAACCTAATACAGAATATTTGACAGGTAGTACTTAGATCAGAATGTTCAGATTTACACAATCTTATTAAAATTAAATCTGCTACTAGTCAGTGAACTTAGCACAAGTCATGTCTTCTTTGACTGTCCATGATGTTAAAATACTAAATCCCTGGAAGTGTTTTAGTTGATTTAAGTCTCTGATGCATGATTTTTTATTATTAATTTTTTTTGGCTTTTTACTAGCTGTCAGTAACTGGGAGTACTCTCAAATCGTACTTTCTTGTTAACTTGACCTGTTGATACTATTTATAATGCTTTTTTGTTATTTCATGTTTACTTATTCAGGGTTATATCTGGTCTATATACCAGCTTTGATAAGTGTTTGGTATTACTGTAAATTTTCACTTCTTGAACTATGAACATCAAAATTATTTGTTTTGTAAAAATATTTCCTTTCTACTTTTAAACTGTATACCTAACAACAAAATTATTTTCATTTACCTGTGTATGATATTATTGTAAATGGCGCATTTTTGTTTAAGGTTATTGTTGTATTTCTGAAATTGTTTAACATTTCACAGTGGTTTAATACTGTTACTTTAATTATTCATCCCTTATTTTATTGATTTTGTATTTACATTGTATCATAGATCAAATTTATTCGTTCAGTGTATGTTCATTTGTGTTAATATGTCTTTTGATTGAGTTCAGCCATTTCAATTGATATTTTATAGTGTGTCTTTCTATGTTGTGATGTTACACTATTGTTTCAGATAAGGGTGAAGGTTTGGTACCATTAAAACGTTTAAACCCGCTGCAATTGTTTGCACGTGTCCTAAGTCAGGAATCTGATGTTCAGTAGTTTTCTTTTGTTCATGTGGTTCATAAGTGTTTTTCATTTCTCGTTTTTTATACAGATTAGTAGATTATATAGAGAGTTTTCTCATTGGCACTCATATGACTCATACATTGTACCACATCTTATATCTATTAGATGTTATTTTGATAAGATTGAGATTTACTGTCATGTCCATATCTACCAAAATTATCAGACAACCCCTATTTTATAACCAAATTTAATGGTTTTGTCTATTAATATGAAACTATAACATGTATATACACAGAAAATGTAAACAGAAATAAAGATAAACAATACAAATTCTATAAAATTACTGATAATTACCAAAACTACCAATTGTTTCTTTTATTTAGGAGTAATTGGCCATATATTCTACATGATTTTTTTCTGAATAATTTGGATGTTTTTGCCTATTTTCTTAAAAACTGTGATAATAAGACAGAAACTGTACACAGCAAACAATGTTTTAGTTTTCTTGTTTGAATTGTTTTACATTGTCATTTCTGGGCCTTTTATTGCTGACTGTGCTGTATGGGCTTTGCTTATTGTTGAAGGCCGTACGGTGACCTATAGTTGATAATTTCTGTGTCATTTGGTCTCTTGTGGAGAGTTGTCTCATTGGCAATCATACCACATCTTCTTTTTTATATAATGGCAAATAATCAACTATACAAAATTTTCAAAAATGCCAATATTACTGAACCATTAATTTACTGCTTGTTGGAGAACTATATGAACAACTTCTGACCAATTTTAGTATACAATAAAAAAAGGAGAAGTAGTTTGATTACAAATGAGACAACTACCAACCAGAAACCAAATGATGTAGCTGTTTGCAACTACAGGTCACTGTACAGCTTTCAACAATGAGCAAAATCCCTACCGCAAAATATAGCAAACTTCAAAAGACCCTGAAATGACCATATATATGCCTTCATCTTGAAAATAAATTGGTCGACATAAACTAGAAAAATTGACCAAGATCTACAATTACCAATCTGATTTTTGATTAGATTACAATTACACCAGTATGATTAATAACATTACTCTTTATAGATGATTTTTTCTTAAATGATGATTATTTTGACCAATTTAAACATGTCATCTAATATCTTGAAGTTATAGGTCTTGAAAAACAGTAAACATCACAATTGATTTGACAGTAAGGAAAAATAATTCATTTGGCAAAAACTAACAACAATTTTTTTTTTTAATGGCTCATTATTTGCATTGACCATGTTGACTATTCACATATCATTGTATCATATCCAATGTGACATATGAATTATCCCATAGATTTATAAAATGTGTTTCAGTGATAAATGTAGCCTTTTCCAAAATTTTCTTCTCTTAAACCCCTGATTGAATATGGAACAAACTTTGTCACAAAAAAAATACTGTTGAATCCAGGTAAGCGATTCAGACTCCTTGGAGCCTCTAGTTTTAAAGGAAGGAATATTGTTTCATGACAAAATCAAAGTATATGTGCTACATTTTTCAAAACATGAATAAAAATGATCATACTCTACCATGTCTTTTATTCATTATTTTCCCCATGATTAATTGTTTTTGTTTTTGTTTACAGAAAATGGATTCATACAAGATTAATGAATAAGATCCATTACATGAACAGTAAATGTTATTTCAAATTCAAAGATCAATGAAATGACACATTCACCACCTGTTACAGAAAGAAAACTATTCAGGTATTTATCTATTGATTAAATACAATCAAACAATAATATTGTATTATTTTGGACTTGTGTATTTTTTTATTTTCCAATTTGTGACAGGTTTTTGATATTTTCATGCCTTTTTACTTATGTCAAATTTCATTTAGAAATTCTGTATGAAAAAAATTATATGGATTTAGAGTTACTTGTGAAAATTGATCAGATTAAATTATTTTGATGGATTATTCTACACATTCTGTTAATACATGTATTTGAGTTACAGGTAATATTGATTTAAAAACAAATGAATATTTTTGAAAAATGTATTTAAGAATATTATATGAATGTTAGTGTGATGTTGATTGTTGGTGTGGTTGGTTGTACATGTACTGTTCAATATTTTTGTTAATAATTGTTATCTTTTACATGTATTATTCAATAGAATCCTCAATTTTTTTTTAATGCAAAACCTTTATTTTTAAGATTGTATGATACCCAAATTAAATAGAAAACAAAACAGTCCTAAAAAATACAAAATTTCAGTAACTTTTCTCATCAGTTAGACTTTTTGTGTAAAAAAAAAGAGATTAAAATAATTATTGACTATTTGTCAGATTTTCAATTTGAGACATTAAAATGTAACTTTCCATTGCAGTTTTACACAGACTAATACATACAATACTTAAAGGTAAGTTTTTATAATGATGACTGCATCGTACCCTCAAATTCAGGTATTGGATGATGAACCAAAAGATTAAAAGATAAGGAGAACCATGAATACTGACTTCTTGAAAGACATCATACCATATCGCTGCCCTAAATGTGGAGACAGTAGAAAATTTACATCTCTACGAGATTTAAAACTCCATCTCAATTCGGAGCATGCATTTAAAGTTGGATGTGTTAAACCTAGGTCAAGAACTACAATTTTTGATAATAAGGGACATAACTCGAGGAAAAAAACTGCAAACAGAGAAAATTTAAGTCGACAGTGGTCATCAAGCTATGATAGTAGGCGATCAAGTTCTGAAAGTTATGGGAGAGAATCTCCTCTGTTCCAAAGTTACAAAGATGATGCTAGGGTGTTAGAAGGCCAACTTGAAAGTGCAAGAGAGTATGAACGCAACAACAGGAGGCAAGCTAATTATTTGTCGAGAAGTCATAGTTATGATCCTTTAGACAACACTATAAATAGATTGAACAAGGATGTAATGAACTCTCATAGGAATATTTGGAAGTCCTCTGATGAATTGTACAATGCAGAGGATGTTCTGAATGGAGTAGAAACTGCTGCTGAGGAAAGATTTAAAAGTCAGCAAAACATTATACAAAATTTAGTGGATGAATTACAACAGAAAGATCTCCAAATTACAAATGCCAACAGAGATGCAGAAAGACTTCGTCATGACAGAGAAAAGCTGATGAACGAAGTAGAGGAGTTGTTCAAATCAGCTGATTTTGGAAATAAGAAATTACTTCAAGAACTGGAAACTAAAGAACAAGAATTGAATGCTGTCAACAATGAGTTAGATCACATTAAACAGGCAGCTTCTGATGAGTTGAAACATAAAGATCAGAAATTGATAGAAGCTGAAAGGAGTTTACAGCAAATAGAGTATGAAAGGAAGTCTTTAGAAGATGAAAGAGAAAATTTGATTGAAAAAGTACAAATGGACAGTGGGTTGTTGAGGAAAACATTGGAAATGAAAGAAAACCAAGTACGAAAGCTTAATACAGAACTTGAGGCCATCAAGTAAGTGTATATATGAATATCAAAATTTTAATGAGGTCTTAAAAAATTTAGAGAGGGTTTGTGGATATTCACAGAACTCCAATTGTTTTTCTTTTGTTTACATAAAGTTAGACTTTTCTTGTAAAATGATTTGATTGACTATTGGTCATGTTGGTGTTAAATGCCACTTTTAGTGCTATTGGAATGGCTTTTTCCTGGAGGCCAGTTTTTATTGGTGGAGGAAGCCTGAGTGCCGGGAGAGAACCACGACCTTTGGAAGGAAAACTGTCAATCCTAGTCAATTCAGATAGGAGTTGAAAGCACCTGCCACATGAAGGGTTCGAACTCACAACCTGATTGTTGACATGCTAGTGATACAGTAGATGAACTATGTAGACCGCTCACCAACCGAGGTCCCATTTCTTGCAAAATTATGTTCTTGATACAATTAGTTCTGATAGCCACCTAGCATGTTGTCAAACAATACTTGCACTTTTTATTATGTCCTTTGCTGGTTTTGACAACTCTTGTGGAATTTTAAACTATAATAAGATATGAAATGGAGCAATGGATAACAAAGAACAAATAAAACACAAAAACAGTATTGTAGTCATTTATTTTCAACAAAAACTATAATTTAATAGAGAGTTTTAAAATAGGTTTGGCTATCACCAACATAGTTAGCTCAGGAAATTCACCTCTGACCACATTTCTCAGGCTTGGATTTTTCCTATGGTCACTGGATCTCGCTTATAAGTCGTTATCCCTCTCTGGAACCTGAATTTGACTCCCAAACTTCTGACTTATAAGCGAGTACCTATGGTATATGAATTTTGGGTACATTTGGTCAAAGCATTTCAAAGGCTTTTAATATGAGTAATTACCATTTGAATGTTTGAATAATGATTTATTGGTTTAAACTTCAGGTGGATACTTAAAGGGGCATTAGCTACAATTTAGACAGAAATTTAAAATACGATTCTTTTTGTTTCAAGTATTAATAAAAATAGAATTTTGAAATAATATTTCGTTATAATCAGTCAGTTAGGCCCAAATTTGTCAAAATAAGCTCAAAAGCATCGCAAGTCAATAATTTAACCTCATTGAATCCGTATTCATATGACCATCAATTTAATCCATTAACTTAGGTTTACACATGTACTAGGTGTGTTCTGCTATTAACAGGAAAAGAATGTCAACATTGAAAGTGAAACAAGGGTGAACCAATTGGTTGACTGATTCGGTCCGCTTAATCATTCTAATATGTAGGTAAAAACGATGATTAACACATTTTTTTTAACGTATCCAATTGCACGTGCTCGCCATCCATTTATTTTTTTTCTCGTTTTATGTAAAATGTATTGGTCTTTTATCAAGTCAGTGTAATCCTCACTTTTGATTTTGATTAAACCTAAATTAAGGGTGAAAATAACTTCAATTGTTCTTTTAAATGTTCAGAGAAGAAATAAAGGTCCGTATCACCCTTAAACTTTTTTTTCATTTTGATATTTTTGAAGGCAGGAACAAAATGAACTTTTATCAGAGAGTATGGAATTATACAACACAGCAGATCAAGGTACATCTAAACTGAAGGATGTGTTGAGATTACGTGATTGTCAGTTACAAGAGGCTGAACAGGAACTGAACAGATTGAAGGAGCTTAATGACCGTCTGGTGTGGGAATCTAGACAGCTCACAGAACAAGCAGATTCACATAGCCAGGTTTGACACTTTGATACTTTGATAAAAATATATATTATGATGAAAAATTAGTTTTTAATAGAAAACCAAACAGTTACAATAAATACTGATAAATATTATGATTTTCTTTTGTTAACGTTTTTTTTTTAATAATTAATATTAAAGTTTTCAATATAAAACTCTTGATAAATCACTTCCATGGTAAGAGTAGAGAATTTTATAAAAAAAAATGTCAGGTTATAAATGTAAAAAAGTCATGCACATGGAAGAAACTCTGATACACCCCATGAAATCATAATTTTGTTCATGTATAACAATTATTTTTATAGGTTCTTCATGAACTACTAAGACAAAGAGAAGATGAGCTATCAATGGTTAAACAAGATTTAGAGTCTACTTTACAGTCAGACAAACCTAAGGCTGTCAATGAACAGCTAGTGCAGTTACAACAGATAGTTCTAGAGAAAACAGCTCACCTGGAACAAAAAGAAAAGTATGTATGTCTAAAAGCTTTAATGCTGAAATAACATTGTTCGTTCTTATGTACAGTTGATCATTCTTTTTTGTCTTTCTGATTTGAATTATATGCGAGATTTTGAGCCTTGTGCAACTTTATGCCTATTAAACCATAATAGGAGCTTATCAACCTTTCTGCTCTTAGACTATTTGCCTGAAAGTTTTCGTACTATATATATAAATTTTTTGTCATCACGTGTAAATGATCAATATGATCTTTAGTTTTAGTAGTTCATGTAGGACCTATAAAATAGAAATTTTATACATTTACAAAATTTGGATTTTCTCAAGCATATCAGACATGTCAGAGTTTCTTCCATGTGCACGTTTTTTTTTTTTGTCTTTTCTGAGAGAAAAAGGGATTGCAATCCAGCAGCGTAAACTATTTGTTTATAGCTTTGTTTTTCAGACAGTAGAAGACCAGAATGTCTAATGTTATGAAGTTTCCATCTGTCATATGTTTATTGTCCTTGACCTCATTTCATGGTTCAGAGACTGCATGAACAAAATTTATGTTTTTTTATGTTGACCTGTGATTTTCTCACTTATTATGAGTAATAGCACAACTATATTTGGTATATGGGTTTCTTGTAAGATCTACATATCTGTCAGACAGGGTTCACCTGACCTGACATTGACCTCATTTCATGGATCAGTGATCAAGGTTAAGTTTTCCTGGTCAAGTCTGTATCTCAGATACTATAAGCAATAGGTCAAATGGTTCATTGGCCAATGTTAAGTTGTCATTGGTTTGCCCATTCGTTAGATACTATAAACAAGAGGTCAATTTTATTTAGTGTATAGAATGATTGTAAGGTACATATGTATGTTTGGCCTTATTTTCATGGTTAATTGGTGAATGTTAAGTTTATAATGGTTTTATCTGTTTATGAAATATTATAAGCAATAAGTCAACTATTTTTGGTGTATGTAATGATTGTTAGGTGTACATGTCTGTCTGGTAGGAATCATCTGACATTGACCTCGTTTTCATGGTTCAATGATCAATGTGAAGTTTTTACGGTTATTCTTGTTTTTCAGATACTGTAAGCAATAAGTCAACTATATGTGGTGTATGGAATGATTGCATGGTGTACATGTTGTCTGACATGGTTCATCTGACCTTGACCTTATTCATGTGGCTCATTAGTCAATATTAAATTTGAGTATTTTGGTCTGTTTCTAAGATACCATAAGCAATAGTTTAACTATATTTGGTATATGGTATGATCGTAAGGTGTATGTGTGTGTGTCTGGTAGGGTTCATCTGACCTTGACCTTATTTACATGGATCATTGATAATGTTAAGATTATGTGAAACTAATATTAAAACCTTCATATTACACACTTTCAACATAAATTCGATCATGATAAGTAAAACAGGCAAATCATTTCAATGTGTGCTCTCTTGTAACAGAAATTTTGACATGACAATTTTTGTAGAGTTATGGTGATTATGACCTTTTTAAACAAATTTTTTCATAACACCTTAATTGTGAAACTCCCATAACATCTTAATTGTGAAACTCCGAGATAGCTTAATTGTAGTATTGATGTCATCATGTGTAATGTAATTGACCTCACTATGCTACAGTTTTGATTTGAAAATCCTTTATAGACTTTGAATTATTTTATTATACCCGAAAGTTACACTTTGTGAACTCTAATCTTTGAGACTATAAACCCAAAGCTTTCATATTTTGAGATTGTTTGACATTATGTTTAGTTGACCATACTTTACTACATTTATGATTTGACACTTGTTGCAGAATGTATTTGACTTTGACTGTACTCAAATTATTCCTGTTATTTGCATATTGACACCAAGAAAACTTTTGTTCAAAAGCTTTCATATTTTATTATTAGACAGTATGTCTTGTTGACCATTCAATACCACAATTTTGATTTGATGATTTTTGCTTGAGTTAATTACAAGAATTCTTTGTTGAATTTGACTAGTTTTTCATGCAAGCACCCCATGACGATTTTAGTATAATGGCTTGTTAATGAGTTTGGTGATTATGATAATGGATTGATGTTAATTTTCAGTTGCAAATATTACATTCATAATTTCATATGAGTATAAGAACATTTGAATGTGATATAAATACAAATCTTGCTTTCTACTTAACCTGCACACTAACTGGGATTTAAAGGTGTTAGTTCACAAAGTAACAATCAGAAGAGGACTACTTGGACATTTTATTCTGACTCTAAACCAACCAGTCTTTGCTCTTACTCCTCTATATTTAAAACTAGAAGCAGCAAATTCCAATTTTTAGTCTTTAGTTTGACCTGCCTAGAGATATAGTCGCCACCTCCAGGATTCTAGTTTATATTTATGCTACCACAGGACCACCAATGCAGTTTTATATGAGTATGGTGATTCATAGTGAATACAATATTTGTGTATTATAAATATCATTCAGTTTTTATATAGTAAGATATAATTATGTTTCATTACACTGGAAATGTCTGCTGTTGTTCTATAGTCTACTCTCTACACATTATAGTGCAGTTACAAAACTAGGGGGAACATTGTGTTTCACATAGAAATCTTCTTTAAAGAAAAGAATGATATTCCATGTTAGCAATTGTTAATGATATATGATTAGTGGTTAGATATATATATATCATTATGTTAAAAATAACTACTGATTGTTATATCTGTTTTGCATATTGTTTTAGGGCAGTCAGAAAACATCCCAACCTTCCTTTTAAAGAATTGGTAAATTTATTTACTATTTGATGAGTCTTCATGTTATCCAGTGTAGTTATTACTGAATATTATATGTACCCAACTATCAACCTATCATTCAATGTCACTGAAGACTTTGACATAACTTAAAACATGTGTTGTTATTTGGATTCACATTGATATTAAAGACACTATCAAACCATGTCAATTTTATATACACTCAAATGGATAATGTCATTACATATGTCAATAATAAATTATGATATTTTACTTTCACAATAAACAATGGTAATAATGGTTGAAACAATACATATTACAGAAAAAAAACAATCTTCTATCAGAGTTTCTGTCTGTTTCAATTTAAGGAAATTTAAAAAAAAAATGGCTCTAAATATCAGATGATAAAATCATGAATACGGTAGTCAGAGTGATACCAAAATGATGACTCCTAGAAATAAGACACAACTTAGGAACCTAACCACAGCTCCCTTCTGTAAGACTCAAATGATTATTTAAAAGAAAGAAAATTATATTATGACACTCTTCTTTTGTTCTGTAAACAAAGCCAATTTCTTACTGCCACAAAATATAAAGTCCATGTGTTTGCCATTTCAGTTGAATTTTAATGCCTATTTTATTTTGAATGATGTGGAATATCAGAATTGACAATTGTCTTAGCAGAATAGTAACAGACTTATAATTATTAATGAAATAATCAATTCAGTACAAAAAATAGACATCTTTAGGCAGGAATGGGAAGTTGGTCTACATTTTCGGAATTTAGGGTCCCCAATATTCTTCAACTTCATACTTTATTTGGCCTTTTTGTTTTTTTTTGGGATTTAAGTGTCACTGATGAGTCTTTTGTAGACAAAATTTGTGTCTGGCGTACAAAATTTTCACCCTGCTATCTATGATGAGTTTATTTAGTATGGAAAGAAAGATAACTCTAACAGGTATTCAAAATTGTTTGAACTTAAGCTTTAGGCCATAAGGCAGTTTATAGAAAGGCAGAAGACTGCAATTTTGTCAGATGTTACAAGAAGTAATTGTTATGTTAAACTTATTGTTCAAGTGTTTAAAGAAAAAAAAGGCAAATACATTGTTTGTATAATTGTATGTTTTATGCACAAGATCACAAAATACTGCAACATCGTTTATATTCCTGTTGCTGAATACATAGAAAGCTCTAAAAAAAATGGAATATCATTAGAAATTTTGGGATTTTACAGATAATATTAATTAAAATAAACATTGCTAGTTGTATCATTGGCAATCATACAACATCTAATTTTAATATTGAAACTTCATTTTCAATAAGATTTCTTTTTAAAATTTCATTTGTATAATAATAAGATATATTGACTGGCTGATATTCAATAAATGAAAAGAAGCAATGTAACTACTAAGAATGATATTCCAAAAAAATATATACAACAAAATATAACTTTAAGTTCTTTGGCTTTGAAGAAATCAAAATTTAATGCTATACACCATTGTACATTATGAATAAAAAAACATTGGTATATAGAAGAAATCAAAATATTATGCTATACATCATTGTACATTATGAATAAAAAAAACATTGGTATGCACATATTTGAATAATAAAGTTGTATATAGAAAAACATCATTTGAATAAAACATAATTGATTAAAAAAAATTTCAATGAATTGATTGAGTCCAAGTTATCACAAAAATGTTGATTTAAATTAAAAAAAAAAATTGACTTCTTTAAACATGAAAATATCTGGCTTATCTCCCCTGCTCTGAATACATCATTTACAACAATGCCAATCCTAGGGAGAAACTCATAATTCTATTGGCTGATTTGCAAGTTCCCTTTAGAGGATATAAAAAGTACTGATTCAAACTGCAGTAGATAGATTATTAACAATGTCAAAAGAATTACATATTAACTTATAAATAAAAACAGGAGGTGACATGTCAAAGTGTATACATGTATTACAATGTATGATATGTTATAAGCTTATCAAAATTATATTTTTTGTCAACATTCTCTTTGTTATGTATGACATTATTTAAGCATGATCATATAAAATAGTATTCTAATTTTCTTACACTGTTGAATTAAATTCCTACTATTTTTTATATTTCAAGTTACAGTCTGATCATCTGATTGTTAGTTACATATCTAGATCTGTAATGCTGTCTACTGTCCTTACTCTTTCTTCTTTAACTTGACCCAGACAACATGTGAATCTATGAAAATAACAAAAATGGATAGTTAATGAACAGAAAATGCCAATAGTCATGAGTTGACTTCAATAGAAAACAATTTCTGAAAAAAAATAATTGTTTAGAAACTTTTTTCTTTTTAAAGAATTCAGGTTTTATTTATGCAATGTCAAATAAAATTCTCTGCCACATTCACAAGTATTAATTCATTAAACACATATTTCTTGACCTAAATGAGTATTGACAAACTAGTCTCTGGTGGAGAGGTGTTTATTGGCAACCATACCACATCTTCTTATTTATATAGTTATAATATTTATTAAATGCTCAAATCATCTGATGTTAATAAGAAGTAGCTTTATATAAAATATTGTTACTTACTTTTTAATATTCTGATATAGTCACTTCATATATCTTCGCTTCCTTGTCTGTACTGTCTTTTGGTTTAGCACAGCCAATCAAAACTTGTTCTGTTTGTGTGAAGGCAAGGGACGCAGGATATAGTATTCCAATGTCACTTGTTTTATAAAATGTCAGTAATTGTCCATTATTGTCTAGTAAATGAAAGGTACTAGTACCCGTATCTATCACAATGACATTATCTCTTGGTGTCGTCACTATATTGACTGGTTTGAATGGTTTGTGCTTGTTGACATCTGTATGTCCTGAATATGTATTGATTATACCCCTTCCCTGTCCTAACACCACCACTCTACCTCTGTCACTATCTGGGTAATTATCTGCCACATGTATATTCCCATTACTGGTACTGGTTATACTCACAGGATAATTGAATATAGGTTGGTTGTGTTGGTCATGTTCATACACAGTCTCATGCTCACCTTTCTTATTCATTACTATCACCTTATATTGTGCATCACTATTAACAACTCCTACTACAACTTTGTTATTTTTTGTTAAATGGACGGTTGTAGAGTAATAGGGTGACATATCATATGCTGTTTCTATTTTACTAGTGGTATAAGTGAGTTTTTGTATATTGTATTTCTCAGTTGTCAGTAATATGTCATTTTCAGCAGTAAGTGAAATACCATAGACCTTGATGTTGAAGGTGGATATTGTTTTTAAACTATTTCCCTCAGGTATTACTCTCATTAAAATTCCATCCAAATTACTATTTATCCAGATTGACTTGTCAGAACAAGAAAATATATCCAACACTGCACTTAATTCAGTCTGATATTGTTTATTGATATTTAGAGTAACACTTAATTCTAGTGGAATATCCTTACTTTGTAACGCCCCAACATTAGACTGAGTTATCTCTCCTTGGACAAAGTGTCGTATGGATTTGTAGGTTGACTTGGTTTTTGGTGCTGGTACATCCATTGAATCTTCCATTCTACTGACTTCATGGAAAAACTTTGCAATGTCAGTGTTGTTTATTAAATCTTCTATTTCATTGTTTTTTTCATCAGAATGTTGCATGGATCGCAATATGTTTTCAAGGTCAGCATCAATGAATTGCATAACAGTTTTCCGATCTTGATCCACTTCATTTCTTATCTTTTCAATATGTTTGTCAACAGCCTGTTTCAAAGCTTCTTCTTGATTCTTAATATTCCCAATGACTCTGGTATATTTTGCATTTTCACCATTCTTAAGTCTTTCCAAATGACCTTTCTTGATGAGCACTTCAGCTTTGCTCGTCTCAATTTTACTCTGTCCTTTCTTCAGCTTATCTTTTTTCATGTTATATGCTTCACTGATTTCAATTAAATCATGTTGCTTGTGTACTTTTGATACACAAGTTGGACATACCAGACTGTTACATAACTGGCAAAAAAGGCAGCAAGTTTGTCCAGAATGGTCCCTGCATTTTATATTAGTAAAATCTAACTCTTCACTGTGCAGTCCTACATCTTTGATATCGATCACCTTATGGTCCTTTGAGTTTTTAATCCTTGGATGTCTCTTTACTTTACAATTGTCACACATCAAAAGTTCACACTCAAGGCATTTCCACTGAATGTTTTTCTCAATATCACAGAAATGACAGTTTATAGGTATTTGACTTTTATGAACTGATTGGGAAAACGCCATTATTTTAGACTATATGTTCTACTTCCTTAATCATATCTCAAATATCTTAGTCAGGTCAAGTATGTATTATAAATTTATAAATAAATGTACTATCATGTGATTTAAATTTTCCTCCTAAATGTGTACATACATTTTGTATTGCATAGGTAGATAATATTACAACCTATAGGTTGCAATTCTGTAAATATAGACAATGCAATTTCCCATAGTAACTCCCTTTGCGGCTAAAACTGTGACACTTTTACTATGAAGTTTCGTGAAAAATAATATCCCAGAACGGAAAGTGTATATGCACTACTATTTTATTCAAAGGTCAAAATATAGGGCTGTGCGGCATATTTTCAACATTTATATGCCTTGAACTTCTAAGAGTTTAAACTTATACTAAAATTCTATACTACCCTTACCTTCATATTTGGACCTCCTAAGAATTAGAATTTAGGCGCTACCATGTTTTTCTATACTGGTTACATTCCCAAGTGATGTCTCTATGAGATAAAACACAGAGATCATATATGGGAACCAGTACATTAACAAATTAACATATCTATGAATATTATATATCTCCCCAAAAGAGGCGTGGTTTGAGAAACAGCTGTATTTACAAAGTGCAACCTATACAAACATTTATTCAAATAGAAAACCTTCTAAAAACACTTTTTCTCACAACAATACTTATTTATCAGAATTATAGCCTTAAGGAAATCACTGCATATACTCTAAGTTTCCTTTTACAGTACATTTTATACCCCTACCCCTATTTCAGTTTTTTAAAGAATTTGAAAACAAGACTTTAATCATTGCCAGCTTACCCTATGTGCATGTTTTCTGACATGAAATGTCTAAAACATGTTTGAAACTATTCTGATAACAAATTGAAAGCATTTTAGAATACTATAAATGTATTGTTTAGTAGTTAATCATTCCAACATTCAAGATTATACAAAGTATCCAATCCTGCCTGTGTCTCCAGTCCACATCTTACTGTATGCCTATTTGTCAATGAAAGTTCACAATTTATGTCTCAAATGGTCAGTTAATAATTCTTGTCACAACAGTATCATCTCTTACCATATAACTAACATAAGTTAGTTGATGTATGAACTAGAAGTGTCTAAACAAAGCCATATTTGCAAAATTGTATTTAAGAAGATATCAGTCTGGTGCATAAATTCACCAAAGTTTGATAGAAATGACTGCTTACGTCTTATTTTTGCATAACTTTCCAGCACAGTTATTGTTTTGTTTACAAAAGACCTTGAAAATAATAAAATCATAGCATTTACAAGTTAAATTATCTGTTTTATGACCCAAGGTAGGCATTTTTTTTTGTTTTTTGCCCCCTGGGGCCTCACATTTCCTAAATATTTTCCCTGTTTCTAGCAATGTGGAGTATTTAGTATATATTTAGGATAGAACACACTATTGTAAGTTTTATTGAGGTCTTTTTGTAATTCTACCTTGTACTTTTTAATGCCGCAGTCACAAAAAAACACATTCAGGTGTTATGGCTTACTTTTGGGTTATCGACAGGACAAAAATAACCTAACAAAATTATTTAGGAAGGATCAACGAGTTGCAATGACTGCGAAGAGTAAATATAAGCACTTCTAAACAATTTAAATCACAAATAGGCATATATTATGAATTTATTTTGAATTCTGGGCTTTAAGTAAACCATGCATACTGTAAACTGTGAATTTATGCTTAGTCATCATAGTTAAGGCTCAGGATTTTCTCAATCTTCATGAAATATTTATAAATCTTCATATTTGAGTTAAATTCTTTAAAATCTCTGAGATAAACCAGATTTTGTGAAATTCTGTATGTTCTATTTTTTAACCCTATATAGGTTGCAATTCTGTAAATATAGACAATGCAATTTCCCATAGGAACTCCCTTTGCGGCTAAAACTGTGACACTTTTACTATGAAGTTTCGTGAAAAATAATATCCCAGAACGGAAAGTGTATATCAGCACTACTATTTTATTCAAAGGTCAAAATATAGGGCTGTGCGGCATACTTTCAACATTTATATGCCCTGAACTTCTAAGAGTTTAAACTTATACTAAAATTCTATACTACCCTTACCTTCATATTTGGACCTCCTAAGAATTAGAATTTAGGCGCTACCATGTTTTTCTATACTGGTTACATTCCCAAGTGATGTCTCTATGAGATAAAACACAGGGAACCAGTACATTAACAAATTAACATATCTATGAATATTATATATCTCCCCAAAAGAGGCGTGGTTTGAGAAACAGCTGTATTTACAAAGTGCAACCTATACAAACATTTATTCAAATAGAAAACCTTCTAAAAACACTTTTTCTCACAACAATACTTATTTATCAGAATTATAGCCTTAAGGAAATCACTGCATATACTCTAAGTTTCCTTTTACAGTACATTTTATACCCCTACCCCTATTTCAGTTTTTTAAAGAATTTGAAAACAAGACTTTAATCATTGCCACCTTACCCTATGTGCATGTTTTCTGACATGAAATGTCTAAAACATGTTTGAAACTATTCTGATAACAAATTGAAAGCATTTTAGAATACTATAAATGTATTGTTTAGTAGTTAATCATTCCAACATTCAAGATTATACAAAGTATCCAATCCTGCCTGTGTCTCCAGTCCACATCTTACTGTATGCCTATTTGTCAATGAAAGTTCACAATTTATGTCTCAAATGGTCAGTTAATAATTCTTGTCACAACAGTATCATCTCTAACCATATAACTAACATAAGTTAGTTAATGTATGAACTAGAAGTGTCTAAACAAAGCCATATTTGCAAAATTGTATTTAAGAAGATATCAGTCTGGTGCATAAATTCACTAAAAGTTTGATAGAAATGACTGCTTACATCTTATTTTTGCATAACTTTCCAGCACAGTTATTGTTTTGTTTACAAAAGACCTTGAAAATAATAAAATCATAGCATTTAATATATACAAGTTAAATTATCTGTTTTATGACCCAAGGTAGGCATTTTTTTCTGTTTTTTGCCCCCTGGGGCCTCACATTTCCTAAATATTTTCCCTGTTTCTAGCAATGTGGAGTATTTAGTATATATTTAGGATAGAACACACTATTGTAAGTTTTATTGAGGTCTTTTTGTAATTCTAGCTTGTACTTTTTAATGCCGCAGTCACAAAAAAACACATTCAGGTGTTATGGCTTACTTTTGGGTTATCGACAGGACAAAAATAACCTAACAAAATTATTTAGGAAGGATCAACGAGTTGCAATGACTGCGAAGAGTAAATATAAGCACTTCTAAACAATTTAAATCACAAATAGGCATATATTATGAATTTATTTTGAATTCAGGGCTTTAAGTAAACCATGCATACTGTAAACTGTGAATTTATGCTTAGTCATCATAGTTAAGGCTCAGGATTTTCTCAATCTTCATGAAATATTTATAAATCTTCATATTTGAGTTAAATTCTTTAAAATCTCTGAGATAAACCAGATTTTGTGAAATTCTGTATGTTCTATTTTTTAACCCTATATAGGTTGCAATTCTGTAAATATAGACAATGCAATTTCCCATAGGAACTCCCTTTGCGGCTAAAACTGTGACACTTTTACTATGAAGTTTCGTGAAAAATAATATCCCAGAACGGAAAGTGTATATGCACTACTATTTTATTCAAAGGTCAAAATATAGGGCTGTGCGGCATATTTTCAACATTTATATGCCCTGAACTTCTAAGAGTTTAAACTTATACTAAAATTCTATACTACCCTTACCTTCATATTTGGACCTCCTAAGAATTAGAATTTAGGCGCTACCATGTTTTTCTATACTGGTTACATTCCCAAGTGATGTCTCTATGAGATAAAACACAGAGATCATAAATGGGAACCAGTACATTAACAAATTAACATATCTATGAATATTATATATCTTCCCAAAAGAGGCGTGGTTTGAGAAACAGCTGTATTTACAAAGTGCAACCTATACAAACATTTATTCAAATAGAAAACCTTCTAAAAACACTTTTTCTCACAACAATACTTATTTATCAGAATTATAGCCTTGAGGAAATCACTGCATATACTCTAAGTTTCCTTTTACAGTACATTTTATACCCCTACCCCTATTTCAGTTTTTTAAAGAATTTGAAAACAAGACTTTAATCATTGCCAGCTTACCCTATGTGCATGTTTTCTGACATGAAATGTCTAAAACATGTTTGAAACTATTCTGATAACAAATTGAAAGCATTTTAGAATACTATAAATGTATTGTTTAGTAGTTAATCATTCCAACATTCAAGATTATACAAAGTATCCAATCCTGCCTGTGTCTCCAGTCCACATCTTACTGTATGCCTATTTGTCAATGAAAGTTCACAATTTATGTCTCAAATGGTCAGTTAATAATTCTTGTCACAACAGTATCATCTCTAACCATATAACTAACATAAGTTAGTTAATGTATGAACTAGAAGTGTCTAAACAAAGCCATATTTGCAAAATTGTATTTAAGAAGATATCAGTCTGGTGCATAAATTCACTAAAAGTTTGATAGAAATGACTGCTTACATCTTATTTTTGCATAACTTTCCAGCACAGTTATTGTTTTGTTTACAAAAGACCTTGAAAATAATAAAATCATAGCATTTAATATATACAAGTTAAATTATCTGTTTTATGACCCAAGGTAGGCATTTTTTTCTGTTTTTTGCCCCCTGGGGCCTCACATTTCCTAAATATTTTCCCTGTTTCTAGCAATGTGGAGTATTTAGTATATATTTAGGATAGAACACACTATTGTAAGTTTTATTGAGGTCTTTTTGTAATTCTAGCTTGTACTTTTTAATGCCGCAGTCACAAAAAAACACATTCAGGTGTTATGGCTTACTTTTGGGTTATCGACAGGACAAAAATAACCTAACAAAATTATTTAGGAAGGATCAACGAGTTGCAATGACTGCGAAGAGTAAATATAAGCACTTCTAAACAATTTAAATCACAAATAGGCATATATTATGAAT